CTACGTCAGAATTAGATTGACTATTGAGATATGAATGAAGCTACCAAAAAATAATGGATGAATCTAACCCAGGCTTTTATCTTTCTAAAATTAAAAAATAATAATCCACGGAAAGGACGAAACCTGAACTCAAACCCAGAAACGGGCTTGGGGTAGATAGACATTAGATCATACTTAGACATTAGATCATACTAAGGAGATAAATTTTAGATGCTACACCAGTAAAGAGTGATGGATGCACTGGGGGAAAAAGAAAGAAAAGAAAAAGCTATTTAACACAGAACTTTATCTATATTTAATCACTGGAGTCTGGAAAAACAACAGATACAATTTATGAAACTCATATGAATTCAACCTTAACTAATTAGCACTTCACTAACAGATAAAGATCTATATATCTCAGTCTGCTGTACATTGAAGGGCTTTACAAATATGCTGGCAGCAATGGACCAGGTGAGGTGGACCAATATAGACAATGCTGCACATCAATTGGTACAACTATTAACATGAGTACGCACAATAAGAATCGAAATTCACAAGTGAATGGTGCTCATAACTGCAGTATTGAAATCCAAGCTGTAATGGAAAGGCGACTTCGTAATGAGAGATCTCCATGTCTTCTTCTTAGGATTGTAGATTTGGATGTACAGCGTTCCCGCCCTCTTATGCAGTCGCGACCTTCGGGTTTCTGTTGTCTCAACTGCCTTCAAAAGGGTGATTGCATGCAGCTCCCCGTCCAATACAACAAATCCAAATAATGAGCTGCACGGAGCCTTTCTTGGTATACGTGACTCCTTAAACCAGCGATTTGAAGCCATGTTATACCTGCAGTGCAGTAGACAGCATTTAAGCAACAAAAGCAATAATTTCCTTTGAAAATCATCATTGAAAGATCAAATGCAGAAGGGCAAGTTTTAAAGTGGCTGCATTCCAGTTAGGTCTTCAAGTTCTAATTTCCTACACAAGATGATGTTCTTTAAATTAGGGACAGCATACAGTACTGGAGCACTCATAGTGGGAGAAATTCAAAAGGACACATAAACTGGGGGCATATGACATACACCCAAAAGGACATTAATAAGCATACATAAAAGCAAACTTACAAGAATGTGGTCCCACATAGTAGAATAGGTTCTACAAATTGTCCAATAAAACTATGCATCTCTCAACTTTTTTGTTATGATAATCAACATTTCACCTCATGAAACCACAATCAATTCAATAGAAAGGAAGCTAAAGCATCACAGCCATTATTGCCAAGTAGACTCTACGTCAAAGGAACTCCAGAGACCATGTCATCTAAGTCATAAACTTTAAATTAGCATAACTATCCAATTTAAATCATCAGAAATAACTGAAGCATAACAGACACTGTCTGTTAGGTTTTATTAGTTCAATATAGCTTAACAGAAGACTTCAAACTCTGTCTTCTGCATTCTCCTTTTGGTGGAATATAAAGATAATGTTCAGCCTGAGATATAAGCACAAACTACGTCATGGAGATTCATAATAAGTTCAAGATCCGCCCCCTCCCCAGTTGTTTCTTTACAGGCAATCCAAAGACAATGCTTCAATGGTGTTATATATAAAATACGACTGAGCCGCATAAAGAGTTCCAGCATTCCGCAAAGCTTGGATAGTCTTACAAAAAAAAAAAGGAAAAAAAAAAGAGAGTTACTATATGTGGATTAGGACTTTAGATCAATGAACATTTTGATGTTTCCACTTCAGATAGTCCTCTCTCATGCACACATGTTTTCCCTTTTGTTATGTTTAACCAATGAAGGGGACCAAGGATGCAAAGGGAACAAAAGTAAACTCCATCTAAGTTCTTACACCCTTATTTCACCAGTCCACTTAAAATAAAATTTCTCAATGAATATCTCTAAGTACCTACTCTAGACTGGACCATCTCAGCAACTCAGCATCTCTGAGTACTTATACTTACATTTGCATGATCTAGTCAACTAACATTTCAAACCCTATAAGGCCAATAATTACAGAAATCTAACACTAAGTTCGGGCACAACTCTCAATCAAAATAACATTAATCATTCAATACCAGGTAATTTTGAAGTAAATGCAATTATGTTGTGGGAAACTGAAGCATCAATACACCCGGAACATGAGGCAGCAGCAAATGTTTTCTATCTAAATCACACATTTAGTTCATCTGAAAACAACTGTTGCCCATTAAACTGAATTTAAGTAACATCAAATTCAAACAAATCCAACAAGGAAACTCACAATTCAGAGCAAAAACATTTGACCTTAAAGCTTAGTAGAGGTATTTAAGACTGACATCTACATGAATAATCTCAATCCAATTTGAATCAATTGTTACTAGCAGAACAGAACATACAATGCTACTTCAAGCCCGAACTTAAACTCAAAAATTAAGAAAATGGAAAAACTACCTGAATATATCATTCCCATCAAGCATGAAAACAGCAGGGCGTCCACGATCATCACCATCTTCGATTACGACAACTTTGCCGAGCCTCACCCTTTCCCCTTCCTCCCACATATCCCCAAGCTCCCTCCACCTGCCACAACCATTCCCATTCTTCAATTCCATCACCACGGCGTCTCTGTAATACTCGTCTATTGGAAAAACTCCTGATATCGTCCTAGACTCGCCGTACCCACCCATCACCCAGAACTCCCTCTCCTCCCCTTCCCCAACAAAGAACCCCGCGCACCCGGCCCGAAAACCCGGCAACCCGTCCATGGCAACCCATTCATTTCTACCGATGTCATATCGCTCCACCGAGGTCATTCGGCTTCCAGCGGCGCTGAACAGCGTGTGACGAGAGCCACCGCCAGCGACGAGAATCTCGCCGGAGCTCGGAACCGCGGCGCAGGCGAAGCTGCCACGTGGCGTGAGCATCGGGGCGAGGAAGTCCCACGAGGAAGTGTTGAAATCGAATCGGAAGACAGCGGAGGACGGCGATGGACGGTCGATCGGGAACGAGCGAGTGTCGAAGAGCGAACCGCCGATGACGTAGAGGTGGGGGCCAATGGAGAGGGATGTGAAGTTGCAGAGGCCATAGACGTGGGGATTACAAGGCATGGGGGGAAGGGGGCACCAGGCTAGGTTTTGGGGGTCGAAGAGATAAGGAGAGGCTACGGAGGGGTCTTGGGGGAAGATACAGAGGAGGTGAGAGAGGTTACGGTGGGTTTGGCGGAGAGCAATTAGGGTTTTGGAGGAGAGGAAGAGCTTCCATGATTTGCAGGTTGGTTTGAGGCGGGATTGGTGGGAGTAGGGGATGAAGGAGAGAATGAGTGCTGCGACGTCGTTTGGGAGACCGGGAATTAGGGTTACGCTTTCGTAGATCTGCATCAATTGTGGTGAAGATGGCGATGAAGAAGATGAAGATGAAGAAGGAGATGAAGGTGTGGGTTCGATCATTTCCTCTTCTTATTCTTCTTCACGTCTATAAAGTCTCTGCCTCTCAGTCTCATATTCTTTCATTCTGGATTGGCGTTTGAGTAGTTTAAGCTATTTTGTTTTTTTTTTTCTTTTCTCTTACACACTTTCGTCATTGTCCAAAAGGCTACAGTTTTCTCACACTTGGGGGTCGATTAATCATTTTTGTTTTTTTGTTTTTAAACAATAATACAGGACACCAGATTTGTGCACTAAATTTGAGTTTTAAATGATATCGGGAAATAACAAAATTCATCAGACTAAGTCTAACGAAAATTTGTCCCAAAAGAACAAAATTTTCAATCTCATATTCTTCCGTTCTAAATTAGAGTTGACAATTTTAGAGTCCATTTGATATCCTACTCATCACAAATCTAATAATAATTTTCGAGTTTAAAATAATAATTTCTTTTACTTAATTTAAGATCTAAAAATTTTATTTAGAAACACAAATCTAACATGATTAGATCAATTTACTAATCAATCCAAATTAGATTAAGATTGAATTTGTAAATAATCAAATACAACTTAAGTTTGACTATTGGTTTGGGGCCCACATTGAGTAGGTAGGGTTGGGCTCAAAGTCACTTTCAGAACCGTTGGTCTTATACCGCTTTGTTTGGACCCAAAGAAATAAGAGGCTTTTTTATATTAGTAATGAGCCCAAAAAATCAGTTAAAATAACGCGAAAACAAAACGCGTTGGAGTTACGTTAATTCAAACAGCGCCTTAACTCCCTTTGTAAATAAACGTTTAACAGTCGTCTCTTTCTTCTCAATAGAGTGAGAGTAAGGCGCGAAGAGAGTGAGAGAGAGCCACAAGAATGGCGAAATTGTGGGGCGTGCGAAGACTGCCACTTCCACAAACCAAAGGACACGAAGGCAGTGCTAAACGAACAAAGAAAAAGAAACAAAAGAAAGAGTAAGCAACTTCTGCATGCTTTCGTTTGCCAGTCTAAATCTTTCATTTTTGATGAGAAATCGGAACCAAGATCGTTGAAAGTTTGATGGGTTTTTGATTCGTATTCAGCAGAGTAGCTACGTTTCTGGGTTTCTCTGAGAATCGATCAGAATGGTAAACTTAGTTTACATTTCTCGTTTATATATGTGAATTTTCCATGAAGATGCAGTAAAGGCAAATGCTGCTCCTGATGTGATTTTTTTCACAGAAAAATAGACAATTAGGTGCCTTAGATTGAGAAGAGGAGAGTACAGATGGAGGTTTGCATCTAAGAAATTTGGTAGAAAGTTTGATGTTTCCAAGTAATTGTTCAAACTTTTAGTATACATTCAGAAATAGGCTACATGGACACACATATATAGTCATTAAGAAGACTGCCTAAGTGGTTTTTATATTGAAAACTTAGGGGCTAAATTATGAGATCCCATGAGTTTTTTTTTTCTTGGTACCTACTGAACATGTATAGCTTACTATTTGTGGTACATATTATGAAAGCAAAAGAGATTTAAGCTACTTTTACTAACATTCCAGCTTTTCACTGCTTACTGAAAGGGAAAAGAAGGCATTGAACCGATTATGTAGTTAATTTTTTCAACTGCTGCAGGGCAAGCCAGTGACCATTGTTGTTGGTTCTCAAATTTGGGTTGAAAATCCAGAATTAGTTTGGATTGACGGAGAAGTAATAAATATTAAGGGAGAGGATGCTGAGATTCAAGTTAGTAATGGGAATAATGTACAGAGTTGTTATTATCTTTTTTTATTTTTGGAAGAGTTGTTATTATTTAAATCTGAATCTTTTGGTCTTATTCATTTGTCTTTAAATCCAACATTTTTCCAATCTATTTTTCTGGTTTCGGTTTCAAGAATTTTGGGAGCATTATCTTCGTTGGAATTTGTTTGATTAATACATGTTTGGGTCATAGGATAAAAAGTAGCAGTTTTGAGGCCAAATTTTGTGTTTCAAGCTTGTGATTTTTTATTTTTTATTTTTGTATTTTTGGCTAACTAAAGTTACAGAGTTAAGAAATGAAATTCAAGTATGAAAGCCTTTTCTTAACAATTACAGAAAATGGCCTTACACTACTCTTTAAACAAGCTTCTGCAGGAGTTTTCTGCATGATTCTTATTTCTGCTTAGAAATTTAAAGATGTTATTTAAGAAGAAAACGGACCTGCTGTTTATTGTTGAATGTGTCTGCATCAATGTGGCTTTCCCCTTTTTCCATCAGTTTTCCTTCTCCTCCTCTCCTTCTTCTATATGATTTTTTATATTCTCCTGATCTGAAAGATTACATAAGCATATGATCCTTGTTATATTTTTTAGTTTCTGCAGATATTTATGCAGTTCTGTTACCCCTTTGGGAGTGACAGAAAATCTCTTCTTCTTATAGGAGTTTTCTTGTATTAAGGACTCCCTTAAGTCAAGTGCCAAAATTCGTTTCATATGCAGCTTTATTGAAATACCAGTTTGTCTGTTTCTTAAACTGACCTACTTTCATATTGGTCAGGTCGTTGCAAAGGTGTCAAAAATATATCCAAAGGATATGGAAATGCCTGCTGGTGGAGTTGATGACATGACTAAGCTATCATACTTGCATGAACCTGGAGTTCTTTGTAATTTGGCAACTAGATATGAGAGCAATGAAATTTATGTAAGATTTCTCTTATCTTTAGTTTCGATCAATTAATGTACACCCTGGTGAAGAAAATGATTAATCACTGCAGCTTTGGGCGTCTCTGTTATAATACTTTGACATCATGGCAGACTTACACCGGAAACATTCTCATCGCCATCAATCCATTCCAAAGTCTCTTACATCTGTATGATACTGTTATGATGGAACGGTATAATGGAGTGCCATTTGGAGAACTGGGTCCTCATGTTTTTGCAATAGCCGATGCTGCATACAGGTGAACTGTGTTTCTTTTGCATCCTACTTTTTCCTCCTTAAAAGATGATGCAGTTACTTTACTGAATTTTCCAAATCCAACCAGGGAAATGATTAATGAGGGTAAAAGCAACTCTATTCTGGTTAGTGGGGAAAGCGGAGCTGGTAAGACTGAAACAACTAAAATGCTTATGCGTTACCTTGCCTATTTGGGCGGAAATGCTGCAGCTGAAGGACGGACTGTTGAACAACAAGTTTTAGAAGTAAGCTGATTAGCTGAAACCATATTACTGTAGCTAACGTTTTTATTTAATGGTAGAATGAGATCTGAAGCCTTGCATAAATATCCTTTCCCATCACTAAAGAAAATGATGTTAAGTGCCAATCTTTTAATTAATTAATTTGTTCTGAATTGTGTAATATTTCTTTTATTGTTTTAACTTGTACCCTTCTAAAAAATTTGTTGTTGTAACTGACATGGTGCAGTCAAATCCAGTTCTTGAAGCCTTTGGTAATGCTAAAACTGTTAAGAATAACAATTCCAGGTGAGAAATTGTTAAATGCTTTGAGATTTTTACTTTTGGTGCTGTTTTTGCTGTTGGTACTGTTTTGTTTAATATATTTTGAATAGAATACGCTTGGCATGTCTTTGGATCTACACGATCTATTTCTAAAACTTTAGACCAGACAATGAAATTTCCTAAATAGTTTCTGTACCTACTGTTGTTCTCTTGAATATATTGGTGCAGCCGCTTTGGGAAATTTGTCGAGATTCAATTTGATAAACGTGGTAGAATATCAGGGGCAGCCATCAGAACTTATCTCCTAGAGAGATCTCGTGTTTGCCAAATTTCTGATTTAGAGCGTAACTATCACTGTTTTTATCTCCTTTGTGCTGCTCCGGAACAGGTACATAGCTCAGTTTTCTACTTCAGTGAATATTTTTGATATTTCACAAAATTTCTGGTTGACAGATTTCTAGTCATATCAGGAAAAAGAGAAGTATAAGTTGGGAGATCCTAAGTCATATCACTATCTTAATCAATCAAATTGCTATCAACTGGATGGTATAAGTGATGAACATAATTATCTCTCCACAAGGAGAGCCATGGATGTTGTTGGAATAAGTGTAGTAGAACAGGTATATTATTTTGATTTAAATCTGCATTTGTTTAATGCTAAGTTAAGCATCATTATACAGAAAATCTGGGAATAACTCTGTCTGTCTGTCTGTCTGTCTCTGTCCCTCTCTCTGTCTCTGTCTCTGTCTCTCTCTCTCAGGAGGCTATTTTCAGTGTTGTTGCTGCAATTCTTCATCTCGGTAATATTGATTTTGCGAATGGGGAAGATAATGATTCATCTGTTCTGAAAAATGATGAATCCCTTTTTCATCTTCAAATGACAGCAGAACTTCTAATGTGCGACGCAAGCTTTGCTCTAGACATAATTCATACTCTCTTTTTTTTCTGTCAATCACAGTGCAGTTTTCATCTGTCTTATTCGTATATCAGGTGTAATCCTCGTGCCCTGGAAGATGCACTGTGTAAGCGTGTAATGGTTACTCCTGAAGAAATTATTAAAAGAAGTCTTGATCCCCATGGCGCAACAGTTAGCAGAGATGGTTTGGCCAAGACTATATACTCTCGTTTGTTTGACTGGTAAGATGCTAGCTTCTGAATCATTTTTACTAAACTGCTTACTGTGGAAATGAAGCATTTAACAATATTGGTTTTTCTGTTTGCTTTTTTATGTCCAGGTTGGTGGATAAAATCAATGTCTCAATTGGACAAGACCCTAGCTCAAAATGTCTGATCGGGGTCCTTGATATATATGGTTTTGAAACCTTTAAAACTAACAGGTAATGATTGATTGCCAAAAATGTAGAATGCATAGATATGTTTGGGAAGGGTTCTGTGTTTTATGCATTTAGCATAAACAAAAATACATTCTCATCTATATTTGGTATGCATTAGAAGACCTAATACTACCTAGCATCAGGTGGCGTGAACTTCTGACCTGCACTAAGGTACTTGGGGAATCCTCGGGATATTGCTGAATCTGAATTTACTCAGCTACAAATAATTAGAAAGGAGGATCCCAGATTAAATTTAGCTTGAATCCCACTACGTTATTCTTAGTCCTAACTTGTTATGTTCCATTAATGCAGTTTTGAGCAGTTCTGTATTAATTACACTAATGAAAAGCTGCAACAACATTTCAACAAGGTATGAGGTTAGTCATACTTGCAAACTTGAGTGTTTAGTCATTCTTTTCAATGTACCATCTAAGTGTTATGATGTGATTCAGCACGTATTCAAGTCGGAACAAGAGGAGTACACTAGAGAGGAAATTGATTGGAGCTACATAGAATTTGTTGATAATAAAGATGTCCTGGATCTCATTGAACAGGTCTTCTCACCCTCTCTCTCTCTCTCTCTCTCTCCCCCTCTAATGTTAAACAGAAAAGCACTTACATAGCTCGTAAACTCTTATAAGGCTGCCCCCATTGGAGGTGACACGAAGCTGACATGTTATAACCTTTAAGTTTCCAAAACTTTAAATTATTCTAAAAGCAGTGACTCCCTTTTCCTTTGATGCATCATGCATCACTCATGATGTTAGTCCTTATGAATGATCATATATATGGGACTTCATGTTTGCTGATTTGTATCCCCTATTCTGGAGCCAGAATGTCTTTCAAGCAATACTAATAATTGGTGAAACTCTGCATGTGTTTCCAAATGGTACATTGAATCTACTGTTGTGGTTTCATTTTTGTGTATTGCTGATCTGTTCATTCAACAGTTAAACTATGAGAAAGTAATATACTGAATCATCTATATCCACACATCACAATTTAACTAATTGATTCCGCTTCTGCAGAAAAAAGGTGGAATTATTGCTCTGCTTGATGAAGCTTGGTATGAACATCTCTTCATTCTTGGCTGCAATTACACACACACACACACACACACACACACACACACACAAAAAGAAGCTCCTGCTCAAATGCTTCATTAGGTGAAGTTAGGATGGTAAAATCCCCATGTTCTTGACTGAAATTACACACACACACATTCACACAGAGGTTCCTGCTCAGGTACTTCATATTAAATGAATAGTATATCTCCAGATTTGTATGAAATCCAGAAACTGCTCTATATTTTATACATTAACTGTTGTTTTCAGTGTAAATTTGTAATCCAAGTATGGATTCCACCATTACATTAAATGTTCTGGCCCTGCTTTTCATGCCCACCAAGTTAATCAATTACATATTTTATTGATGGCCATCTAATCCTTTGTATATCCTTTATGAAACGTTTTTATAAAACTTTAATTCTTTGCACAATTAGATGGAAAAAGGACTCATCCAACCTTTGTCTAATGAGTTTTTTTTTTTTTTTTTTTTTTTTGGGGGTTAACTTTGTCTCTTTACAGCATGTTTCCAAAATCAACTCATGACACATTTTCACAAAAGCTGTATCAGACTTTCAAAGATAACAAACGCTTCATCAAGCCAAAACTGACCCGCTCAGATTTCACCATTGTTCATTATGCAGGAGAAGTGAGCTTGGTCATTGTTTTTTGTTCTGAAATCCATCATCTGTACTGTGGTTTCCACTGAAGTATTTTCACTTATTTTTGCTTTTTTTTAGGTACAATATCAGTCTGATCAATTTCTAGACAAAAATAAAGACTATATTGTTCCAGAGCATCGAGATTTGTTGAGTGCTTCAAAATGCTCTTTCGTAGCAGGCCTTTTCCCTTCACTTACTGAGGAGGCGGCCAAATCTTCCAAGTTCTCATCTATCAGTTCTCGTTTTAAGGTATCTTCTATTCTGGCTATCTTCTTGTCTACAATTCTGGTCTCAGAAAGAAAGAAAATTGCTTACAATTGTTTTGAATTTTGCCCAAGAAATTATTATCAAATTATTCCATGTGTCGAAACAATTTACTGCAGAAAGGTGAAACTTAATTTCTGACCTTATTGATGCAGCTACAACTCCAACACTTGATGGAAACACTAAATGCTACAGAACCCCATTACATTAGATGTATAAAGCCAAATAATGTCCTAAAGCCTGCAATATTTGAGAATATGAATGTCGTGCAACAACTACATTCTGGTGTAAGTACAATGGGAACTGTGTGTATAGTACTATTACTTATTATCAATTGGTGGCATTTATAGGTTGTTATTTGTGTAGGGTGTTTTAGAGGCAGTCCGAATAAAATGTGCAGGATACCCTACTTACAGGAGTTTTTTTGAATTTTTAACTCGATTTCGTATCCTGGCCCCTGAGGTTCTAAAAATGGAGTAAGTGCCACCTTATGCTTTCACCTTTAATGTTGTCACATTGTTATCTTCCATATTGTTGCTGGCTTTTCTGCTTATTCATGGATGTTTGGTTATGTTCCCATTTCTGAACTTAATGCCTATATTATCAGCTGTCCTGAAAACGAAGCCTGCGAAAAGATTCTGGAGAAGATGGGGCTTAAAGATTATCAGGTAATAAGAACCATTACTTCGTATCAATCACTCTTATGTTGACAAACACAAGATTCACAACAGAAATTTCTGGAACTCCTACTTGGCTTCGCCTTGGTGGTAAACCACAATTGCAAAGCAAGCTCCTAACCTATGACTATTGTTGACTGAAGTAGCTATGATGCGGAACCCAATGAAAATAACAAAAAGAAGAGGGAATGGAAGAGGGAGGAGGGAAATATAGAAACTCAAGACCGAAAATTCTTTTGTAATTCAATAATGGAGTTTCCTCAAAACAGCTGCTTCATGGCCCATTTATGGGGCCAGTCTGAAAAATCACATCAAAATCAAATATTATGTCTTTAACTTGCAAGATATCTTTTTTTTTTTTTGGGTGTTTTTAACAAGACATCATATATATTCAACTAAGTTGTAAATAGTTTTTTTCCAGATAGGGAAAACAAAGGTTTTCCTAAGAGCTGGTCAGATGGCTGAGCTAGATGCAAAGAGAACACTCATGCTTGGCGACTCAGCTAAGGTGATTCAAAGGCGAGGCCGAACTCGTATTACTCGTAGAAAGTATGTTTCTATACGGGAGGCTTCTATTTGTGTACAATCATTTTGCAGAGGTGAGTGCAAAAAAGAAGAGAAATCCTGAAATTTTTCAGCTGATTGAATGTATTTTGTAGGATTTGGTTACAGTGTGATTCCCATCCCCCTTATTCATTTATGTAGTTTTCCATTACCCTAGCAGTTAGTGCTCTTATCAGCTATGTATACTAACTACCCTTATAATTGGCTGCATATACTAGAATTTCTATATACTATCACAAGTATTTCGTTGTTATGATTCAGGAGAATTGGCTCGCAAGTTATATAAGCTCAAGAAGCGGGTGAATGCTGTAGTTAAAATTCAGAAGACTGCACGTAAACGGCTGGCGAGAAAAGACTATGTCAAAATCTTGTTCTCTTCAGTTGTCTTACAGACTAGTTTACGGGCAATGGTTGCTCGTGATGAACTTAGATATAAGGTTAAGGTTGCAATTATTATTCAGGTGATTACCCAGCTTCTTGTGTTGCTAACTTGATATATACATAGTTTGTTGCTTTTTGCATTTCCCAAGAATTTGTGTTAATGCCCAGCGAGAAAAGACAAATTCATGATCTCTTAACTGTCTTGCAGACAGGTTTACGGGCAATGGCTGCTCGTGATGCTTTTAGATATAGAGTTAATGCGGCAGTTATTATTCAGGTGATCCAGCTTCCTGTTTCGCTATAATACATAGTTTGTTGCTTTTCACATTCTCAAAGAATTTGCAGATATTCCTGACAAGAAAATCTCAAAACCGAGTTCTCTTCAATTGTCTACAGACAGGTTTACGAGCAATGGCTGCTCGTGATGCTTTTAGATGTAGAATGCAATCTAAGCCGAGAGTTATTGTTCAGGTAATTACCTAGCTTCCTCTGTGGCATTTGTTTTTTTTTTTTTTTTTTTTTCATATCCTCAAAATATGACCAAAAGACATGCAGGAAAATTGCTTCAACATAGTTCTGGGCAAAAATGAATCTTGTATTTCATTAATTAGTTGAGTGAATGCAACTCAATATATATGTATGTATATACATACATATATATATTGTTCTCAAAATGAGAGTACAGACTACTATTATACTATCTACAAGATCAGAAGCATCATGCTAGGTAATCCCCTTCAAGTTCTTTTACTGAAAATTTTAGATAATTTGTGCAGACTGACTTGGAAAAAGCAGAAGGAGAAGAGGCAACAAAGTTGGAGGTCTCTGTGCAAGATAATGTAAGCAAAGTTAATGAAACAAATGTGTTGCTTGAATGTCTCATTATACAGGTAGAAATTGAAGTATGCCCTATTCTCAAAGAATTCCTGTGTCATGATCCAAATGCTGAAACCAATGGCCCAACCATAATGTTGCACAAAATATCTCTGCTTTTAAATTCTTGTAAAGAAAACAATGACAAACGACTATTATACTTCATCCAAAATCAGAAGCATCATGCTAGGTAATCCCTTTCAAGTCTTTTTACTGAAAGGTTTAGATAATTTGTGCAGACTGAATTGGAAAAGGCAAAAGGAGTGGAAGCAACGAAGTTGGAGTCCTCCATGCAAAGTAATGTAATCAAAGTTGGTGAAACAGACATGTCATCTAAAATTCTGGTTTCACAGATAGAAATTGAAGATATTACCAAAGAAATCCCAAGTCCTGAAAAAAATGCTGAAAAGATCAAAATTCTTACTGCAGAAGTTGAAAATCTGAAGGTAATGATTATTGACCCAATAGCTTAGGAATTGCCATTCTTCTAGATTTGTTCCATTATTTTTTCTCATCTTAAACTGGTTTAGGAATTGTACCATCTACAAATTAATGTTCCATCTCTTTTCACATAGGCCATGCTGCAAGCAGAAAAACAAAGAGCCAATGAGTGTGAAAGGAGATACGTAGAAGCCCGGGTATCAAGTGAGGAAGGACGTAAAAAGTTAGAGGAAACTGAAAGAATAGTACATCAACTTCAGGACTCTTTGAACAGGTAGTACTCGTTGATGCGCTTACGAATTATACTCTTATCATTTTTTCATTTCTCCCTTTCATCTTGTGCATGGATTACATAGAACTGAATATGGTATTTCCTCATCAAGTTGACTTTCCATTGGGTCAAAGAGGCTTGTTTGTGAACCTGACAAACTTGGAATCTATGATGTAATTTGCAAATGAAATATATGACTAGTTCTAAGCACTTGTATTAGGATTTAAGTATATAGTTTTTATATGTTAGGAATAGAATAAAATATATATTTTGAAGCGTCTTATAGGTTTTTTATTATTTTATTATTTTTCATTATTTCAATTCGCAGTCATTGAAATGAGTTTCCCAGTCTAAATTACTTTCGACTATCAAATAAGATACTTTTTCTCTGGGTACATAGGTCAAATTATTAGCAATATGATTTTGGTTTTGTTATGGGCAACTAATTGCAAATAGCGAAAAAAATTTGAAGGCCCTGTTCATATGGCAATAATGAGATTATATGATATGAATTTGGTTATATAGCTTTATTTGGTGCATCTTACCTGCTGAAAAAAAAAACACAATTTCCTACTTGCTCGTGTGCCCCATCAGTTTAACCCATTTTGTTTGTTTGAAGTATTTCCTGCAATATATAGTTTATAAGTGAAAATCATTTTGAGAAAACGAATGACATGAGAATACCAGAGAGAGGCCGCATTTCAATGATGCAAACATTACTTCTAACTTATTTAGATTTCTACATATATGAAAAGTTACAATTATTCTGATGATGTTTGTAAAGCTGCTCATAAATCAGTTGACTAATTCTAGATATGATCTAGTGTGTTTCAGGATGATATATTGCATGTCAAACCAAGTTTCGGAACTGAAAACAATCTTATCTACCGCATCCAAATCAAGTTCAACAACTGCAGGACCTTTTGTTAGACACGAATGGTTCGATAGCATTTCCAGTAACTCTGAATGTTCATCCACTGACTCAGATTTTACTTTTCCAGCTCCAACGCCAACCTCAGCTAACTTTTCTCCCCCCTGCACCAATTCTCTCAAGCTCATAGTTCAGGACATTTCAGCCGGAGATGTTTCAGGTTAGTTAGCTGTGTGTATTTTGATTTTCTGGCTATATGTACTTTATAATCCAGGAGGAACATCAATTTTCTAAGTGAGTGTGCAACTGATCCCACTATGTAACTGATTGTACCAAAGACAATAATGATAATATGAGTAGTGTTCCTATGGTGAAATTACTTCGCATCAATTAGAGCAATCTAGATCAGCTTGTTGCCACCTGAAAAGCACTGATTTTGTCAGAATATTTTCAATTTCTAAAAGATACCCTAATTCAGAAATCATTTCCTTGCACATCGTGTTAGCTCCTTGCAACTTTGATAAAAATGGTTTATGTTTATAACTTATAAGTTCTGTTTCATTGTTTTATGTTTTCCTTTTCCCTCAATGATACTTTTTGCAGGATCTGAAAGTGAGAAGGAGGGGGGCGCTTTTGATGACTTCTTCTGACGGAGCCTGTTCTAATTATTTTTCTTCTTTCTTGCTTAGATATGCGTCTCTCATAAAACGTCAGATTTTGGCACTGTATATAGGACACCAGACTTGAACATATCGTCCCGTATGCTTCATACAGGATCATAGATCGACAAATTTCTCTCAGGAAGCTGTAGATCATTTAGTCAGGTAGTGTTAGCGAAGGGGTCAAATGTAGTAAATTTTAGAGTAGGATGTAGTTTGACCTCATCCACTAACATCCTTTGTGATTTCACTTTGCCCTGATAACCGGCCATGGGCTTATCGTGCGTAAATGTTGATCATAAAACTCTCTTGAGTAAGTTAATTTTCTTCTGCATTGTCTTTGTAGACCCTACTTTTTATCTTGTTCAAATGTAATGGGACCTCCATCTCAACTTGAGAACACAAAAGACCACTTAACAAGAAGCAGCAAGCTAATGAGGAGTTCGTCATCAATGTATTGCCCAAGGGCAGAAGTATTTGCTGCCTTAGTTTTTTTTTTTTTTTTTTTTTTGGTTTTTTTTTTTTTTGTGTGTGTTATTTTTTTTTTTTTTTTTTTTTTAGGTCTTTCTTACTTTAGCATTTTAGTCATGAATCAGACAACATGGCCTTTAGCTAATTGGCCGTCAGTGTAATTAACTTTAATTATTAGATAACTTGAAGGTGTTGATTTTAGGGGTTGAGCATATATGGTGGTGCTTGGCGTTTACAAACAGTGTGTGTGTGTGTGTGTGTTAACATTCAGATCAAGCAAAATCTAGTGCCAAAATGTGTTGTTTTTTTCTTCTTCTAAATAACCTGCATTGTTGGTATACATTTGGCAGGAAAATGCAAGTGATCGAAGCCATTTGCATTCCTAATATATTAAGTTATTAACCATTGAAAAAAAGACTATTTTTTTCTCGTAAAAATTTGGATGAAAAATCGGTTCAGGGTAGAGGCAAAAATGAGGGGAAACCACCTAAATTAAAAGCTATCCCGAAACATCGATCTACTAAAGCTTTCCTTTGTTCCATACTGCAGTATATATGCATATACATAAGAGGCTTCCTATACCATATGTTATAGCTTGGATTTCAAATTGTGAACTTTAAATGCATTTAAATAAAAAAGAAAATGTTTCAAATGAATCAAATTCCTTTATAAATAAGACATTGTCATCTAAAAAGTTAAATTTGACAACAAAAAATTCTAAAAAGTAAAATGTTGTTTCGAAACTAAATTGCAGGAAAACATCTAATTGTGAATTTTTGGGGGTTCTTTTTTCCATTTTAACTCCAAATATATATATGTAAATAAATTCTTATGTATACAAACTCCTATCTTTGTACAGGCTTCATACGAATTGGTGCACCCACCCACCCCTCAAGTACGTAGAGAGCTTTTATATATTTCATGCTTTACATATATTCCCATATTCCTATTTCCCACTGATCACAAGCCCCTACCTAGCTTAGCTAAGCTAGTTTCCCATCTCATCATGTATATATGTCTGCAGGTATAAGGCAAATTTTGGCAGATGTCACCCTAGAATTCGCAAAAAGTTAAAACACTGACTTTTTGAGTTTCTACACTTTCATTGCTAAGTAACATCCAGATATAGTAGCAGCATTTTGCACATCAACCACACTATACATCAAATAGGATCTGAGAATTTTCTGCTTCTTGTTTCAGTCTTAGCCCACTGAAATATCAGTGAGTCTCTCTCTCTCTCTCTCTCTCTCTCTCTCTCTCTCTTAAGCTGTGAAACTAAAAGATGGGTTTTTCCATTTTACATGGATAACGTGTTAATAATTTGTTTTGATGTTTGTAGCTAGGTTGGAGGACTGGGCTTAAAAGTGTCATATGGAAATGCCCATTTGAGTTCAAGATCGATCAAAGAGGAGGAAGAAAGAAAAATGGACTGTATCAACTTCAGCTTCGAAGGAGAAAATTTATGTGATATTTCGTGGGCTGCAAAAAACTATGCATGCAGCTTTTGCAAGAGAGAGTTCAGGTCTGCTCAAGCTCTTGGGGGTCATATGAATGTCCACAGGAGAGACAGAGCTAGGTTGAGACTCCTCCCTCCAAGCCTTTCTTCAGAAATATGTCCTCATAACCCTAACCCTAGCTCTTATTTTTCTCCCTCTTCATCATCATCATCCTCTCTTTCATCCTCTAAGGGCTTACCACACAATTACTCATCATGTCACTCCTTGCTTTCTCCTTCTTTGAGGGCTTTGATGTCTGCAACTTCATCTACAGATGGAAACAAGAAACCCAAATTCAAGTACAACTCTCCTCAAAATCATGTTCCTAATTTGATTCCCAAGAAAGGCAAGAGAGGTGCTGTGGATCATGAGGCCGGAGAAATATTGAAGGGTTTTGCACAAAAAGATCTGGATGATGAGTTCAACAAGGTTGATGATATGAAGAAAGAGAGTAATATTATTAGGCTGGACTTGGACATGGGGTTCTTCAAAGATCACAAGGAGGAAGTGGATTTGGAACTTCGACTTGGGCATCTGTAGGTGCAAAACTTCACCTACTTGTGTGGGAATTTATCCCAAGTTAGTTTAGATTTGATTTTATGCTGCACTTTATTTTTAAAATGAAATTTTATTTTTCCCCTTCTTCTTAATTAGCTACCCAACAATGAAATCAGAGATGCTTTGAGAAGGTTAATTTTTGTATGGATCTAATATTGGGTGATTAGTATTATGACTATATATGCAAACCCCTTCTTTTTTGCTGTTTCCTTTGTCAGTTCATTTGTTGATTTAAGCAGTTTCTAGTTTAATTAATCTTGAAATTTTCAGTTTTTATTGTTCTAATTCCTCTAGTGGTAAACTGGGGTTACCGGTCCTTTTTCTGGTGAGTGTGCAATTGAGTTGAATGATCTGCAGCTGTCTCATATGTTTGAAATTCCATTATCATTAATTGTTTCAAAGAAAAAGGATGGTTGCAAAGTTGATGTTCTCTCTTGTGATTGTTCTCTGGGAAATGCAAACCTGCATATCTTGGGAACAATCTCATTTTTTGAGCTTCTCTCTCTCTCTCTCTCTCTCTCTCTCTCTCTCTCTCTCTCTCTCTCTCTCTCTCTCTTCTTTGTCCCTTTACTTTCTTCTTGGAAACAGAAAACTGGAAAGCAAAGATGTATAGCTATAGAAAGAAGATCTTTTTTTTCATAAAGTTTATGGGCCAGAAAAGCTTTGCTTCTGAAGAATTATTTCAATAGTTTCTCCAAGCTTATAACCTTGGAGCTCTATCCTATGTGAACAAATAGTGGTGAGGAGCACAAGTTTGATGATATAAAAACTGCATACTGTGATCATAAGCATTATATCTGCTTATACAGATATATATTTGTTTTATGGGTTTACTTAGTGGGTTATTAATATTCAATTATTCCAAGGTTTAGTTAGCAAAGTTGGATATACATATCAAAGAAAAAGTCAATATAATTACAATCAGAATTTCAGAAATGGGGCACTATCTATCAAACGAAAGCTTGAACTTGAAGGTTTTTAAAGGCTACGCATACAGAAGAAGAAGCTGAACTCATCTGGCCTTAACTTTTTTTTTTTTTTTGTAGTTTACAAAGAGAAACTTGAAGTGATCATAAATATGAGAGCTGGACCTGCTGACTTCACTAAATTCAAATGTTTTCATGAAAACATACAGAGAAGAAATTAAAGTTTTCACAGTAAAGATATTAAATGTATGGCAGCAAGATGTCATGCATGTACTTGTCAGGACTCAGGCAGGAGGGAACATTAACATGTAATATCTGTATCATGATTTGATGCCTAGCTACGTCAAACATATCGATCACAATATTGTCAAAATTAATGTAAAAGGAAAGACATTAATTAATTCATAGATTTTGATTGCTGAGCATATCAAATATATTGACCTCACTCGTGCAACATATTGTCATGTGTTTGCCTCTCTCTCTCTCTGCTGCAAGAAGATGAGGAGATGTTTGACCCACAAAAAAAAAGATGGGGAGATAGATATCAAGATCATCATTTCATCTCAGATGCCAGATATTGCATTTTCCCAACTTCTGTCTGTTTGCATGTTCCCCAAACCCTTGTCTCAGTAAAGACATGATGGCCTTTCCTTATTTAGAAGCACATAATTTGGTCACTCCAAGCAAAACAAGGTAAAAAATAAAAATAAAAATAAATCAAAGGCGTTTTTTTCTTTTGGGTGGTGAAAAGGCAATAAATAAATTAAAGACTGACTGTGAATTGTGGTGATGGGGGAAGTTGGACATTGAAATAAGGCCAGTAAAAAGGTGTGTAGAGAAGAAGAAGGTAAAGAAAATGGACATGTGGGTGTGAAGGACAGAACCTACCAAAGTGTATGTTTTTGTGAAAGATGAGGGCATGGGATAAAGTAATAAGGCTAGTCGGCGCACGTCACCATCCCCACCCATTCAATTTCATGCCCACCCCTTGTTTCTTTCACTCAACTTCAAGCCCCCTCCTGCCTCTTTCTTTCTCCATTCATTATATTTTTTTCAAAAAATAAAAATTACTTTTCTTTTTCATAAAAGGTTTCTTATGGGATAGCTAGATATTGGGTTGGGCTGGTCTAGGACCTGATTGCAATATTGAGCAACTTGTCATCAAGAGAGAGTTGGGCTGGTCTTGCACCATATTGCAGTATTGGGATTAGGTGTGGCAAAGCCAACCTCTTTGTAATTTGGAAAATCTCCACGGAAGGAATCAAATCCAGAATTGTGTGCTCCATTGAAACTGAAAATGGACTGCAACAGGATATATGCTATTTAATTTAGAACAGCAGCTAAGGAACTTGATTAGAATGAACCCACAGAGAGAGAGAGAGAGAGAGAACAAAAACAATTGGACTTCAAAGATAAACAACATACCTGAACTGAAACTCATCATCACCAACAATGGTTATGTAGTTCAGATATATTTAAAGCGTATAGCCGCGCGGCTATACTCCTGAAATAAAGAAAAAATGTTTAAAGAGTATAGCCCTTTTAATTTGAAAAATATATATATTCAACGTGTATCGCCGTGCGGCTATACTCCTTAAATAAATAAATAAAATATTTAAAGAGTATAGCCGCTCGGCGATACTCCTGAAATAAAAATATGTATTCAAAGAGTATAGCCGCGCGGCTATACAGATATATTTTTTTATTTAAAAAGTATAGCCGCACGGCTATACGCCTTAGATGGGAAAAATATATTGTATAGCCGTTCGGCTGTACTCCTTAAATGAAAGAAATATATTTGAAGAGTATAGCCTAAACAAAATATATATTTAAAAGGTATAGCGACGAGGCTATACGCATTAAATAAATAAACAAAATTTTAAAACGTATAGCCGCACGGCTATACCCCTTAAATAAATAAATTTACATATTTAAACAGTATAGTTGCTCGGCGATACTCTTTAAATAAAAGAAATATGTTTTAAGAGTAATATATTTAAATATTATGACCACGTGGCTATGCTCTTTAAATAATAAAAATATTTAAAGAGTATAACCACA